CAATAAAGTAAAATAATATTAAATTCAATATTTAAAAAAATATGATAATTAATAATTTACTAGTTAATTTATATTAGTACCTAACCTACTACTATTTAATTTTTTACTGATTATATTAAACAAATAATACGTATTGATTAACATTATTATAATATCTACATAAATAAATAATCTTTTTAAAATTAATTTTATTACTTTAAATAACCTCAGATATTCATAATTTTATCATTTTTTATACCTATAAAAAAATAGTACATTTATAACAAATTAGTTTATGCAGCAATATCGATATGAATACCTATATGATCAGTGTAATTTAAGCATTATATAGATATTTATTATTTTAAATACTTGATGGTAAAGACATCAATATAGATTAGAAAAATTATTTTTTTGTTGTAATAGTATTTATATTTTTAAATATGGTTTAAATGTTCAAACTTATCTAATTATAAATTATAGATATAAATATTTTACCCGCCACATTTAAAATCTATATTCTATCTTTGAAACGCAAATTAATAAATTACTTAAATAATGAAAACAAAATATAATCAATTTTGAATTACTTATAATTTGTTAATATTAATGTATCTTTATGTATAAAAATATTTTCAATTATGAGAAGGGATAGTGGATAAAACCTAACACATATCCAAAAAAATAGATGTTTCAAAAAAGGTCATAAGTGTATGAAAAAAAAATGTAGGTGAGACTCAAATTCTCTAAATTTTAGATGCTATTTTTTTTTTATAGAACGTTTATGATACACATACTATTATATTATAGTATATATACTGTGGTTAATAACTTTATAAGCTTTTACGATAACAACTGTCGGATTTTACTATCATCGTGTGGACCACCAGCACATATATGGTTGCAATAATAAATGTAATCTAACGACGTAAATATTATTAGGCTAAACAAAAGAAAACATTAAAGTGTTTTTAAAGTAAAAATATGCTTATTATCAAATTTATAGAGAACAATATTTTAAGATTAAATATTATTTGAAATATATATCTTAATATAAATTATATAAATAGTACTAAAACCTTATTTTTACATTTTTGAAAGAAGTTGTCTGATAAATATTGTTTTATAAAAATTATATACTGAAGTTTTTATTTTAAAACTTCTTTTCAATGCTGTATTGTTTGTTTTAAGCGGATATGTTTTTACTACTACAAATAATAGATATTCGGTATTAACACTCTAAACAAGTAATGGAGAAATTGGAAATAAAATTTTGTCTATAACTTGTGTATAATACACTAACCTTCCAGTGATTAATGATCATATACACATGAAATATAGCAGGATACACAAAGTTCATGTGTTACCAATATGTATCTATCAATGTATTTAATAATTTAAATATGTATTATAATGAAATGAATACTCTTCTTACAAATATGAACAATTTCATTATAGTGTTAAACTTTTTCTAAAAAAACTTTTTTTTTAAAGTCCCGAAAGGATATGACCCTTACACCCCTCCCTTTACATGCCACTGAACTTTTCATATATACATATATTATATTATTTAAAACATAAGTCATTGTTAATTTCAGCTAATAGCTATAATATAAACTATAAATTTAATATCTATAACATAAGAGCTATATTTCTCATTTTTTTCTGTGGTTTTATAAACAATACATTATTTTTTAATTTTCATGCGCCATTATATTTTAAATTGAAAATTTCAATAGAAATAAAATTTAAGTTAGATACAAAATAAAATATTATGTTAAAAAAAAAACTTTCAAAATAATACATAGACAATATTAATAAGCAGTAATAATATTATAAACTTACATTTTGTAATTTGTGTAGTTTTATTAATAAAGAAAAAATAAACAACTTTTTTAGTTTTGTCACTAAGACATTCAGTTTTTATTGGATTTGTTAATATATTTATCTATAATATATATTTAATAATAAATTGGTTTTGACATTTCTTTTAAAACACTATTTTAAATACAAATATAATTTGAATATTTAAAATATACGCTGTGTGCTGTGTATACTGTGTTTAAATGTTCACATATTTTTGTTTTAATACTATCAGTTTAAAATGTTCAAACAATTAGTTTTAATGGTTAGATTTACCATTCTATGTGCGGTTCTGTTATTATAAATGCCGCTTTTATTTGTAATCGTGCCCGAACATTTGAACTCTCTTATCTATAATGACGGCCTATGTTCAATGTTCTGACGTCATCATTTTATTTTTTCATATATAATTTTATGTGTGTAAATAGTATAAATAGTTATATACTACAGTACAATCATACAACTCAATGAGAAAAGGACACATATTAATAATCCTAATATTTTATTATTTACTTACTTAAATTATTTTAAAACATCAATTAAAGTTAAGTTTAACGATTTAAAAAATGCTTGACTAATCGAATATGTAAATTTATAACTGTTATATCGTGACAAATTACTAAAAATATCATTACATTTTAGTATTAATAATTATTAAAAACCTACTGAAATTGTAACAAATATCCCTACATCGAACATCGTTCTAATAACATAAAACTATGTATTTTATTTTCATTGAATAAAATGTAAATGTTGTTATTCAATTTTACAGCGATTTATTAAAAAATATAATATTTATACTTTATAAAAATACATAGTATTATATTACTTAAATAATATTTTCGCTCAATCCATATTAATTAAAAAAATCGACTAAAATAAAATAAATGATCACAAAAAAGAATCGATTTGCCCTCCAAGCATATAGTCAATAACGAATTTTGTTTTTATTAATATGTATAATATTTTTTCTTTCCCCCTCTCTCAATAGAAACGTTCCATGAACTTTGCACCGAGCCGGCGATAAGCTAACTCGCAACTGAATACTACTGCATATACGAGGCTGCTCAGCATATACGAGACTCAAATGAAACGAAAAAAACCTCTCTTATCTATGAAGGACTACGTGAACCTTTGACACGGTTATCTCGAAGCTCGTTAAAAATCCATTGAATTGCTTCATTGTTCGGATAAACAAAACGTCACTCAATGTGAGTATTGAATTATCCGAGAAAAAAATTTTAGAATTGAATGCACACAAATATATTTATGTATAATAAATAAATAAATAAATAATAACTTCGATAAAACTTGCCTTTGTCTTCACCACATGGCGAACCCTTGGTAGAAAAGTTACAGACAGAGAAGAAAAATAATTAATGTATTTACGCGAAAACTGCAATACACGCGGTAAAACCGAGCGAGCAAAGTGTACTAATACGACTTTTTGTTCTACAAAATATACGAACCAAATAATACACGTTATTATTTATCTTATCGTTGAGTACATGTGTGTCGGAGGATAAGGTTCTTTTTTATATTAATATTATGGGCGGCTCCGACTGATACGATGAAGCATATGGAACGTCATGATTACACGCTATCAAGTTGATGATAACGCACCAATGCTAAGGTCTGTGTCAAAAACATCGTCACCAAACAGTCGGACACTTAAGTTTTGCTTGAACCCGGTCAGTGGTCAGTGAACTTGTTAAGATGGAATCTTGAAGAAATTAACTAAAGTAATTAAGACAGACATTCCCTCTAATGGCCATTGGCCAACCTTGAATTTGAAATCGGTTAGCTCGACTAAGTATTTAAAAGCATAGTCTAATGTCAACAATGTAAGAAACGAAAATTATCAAACGAAAACTACCCCGAAATCCGAATAAAAACCAAGTTTTACGTTTTCATAATTGTATTAAATTCAACTAAATTACAATAAATTGAACTTAATGAAAACCAAACGTAATAATTAAATAAGTAATTCTAATAGACAGGTACCTAAATATTATTATTTACATAGTTCGCAAATTTGGAATTCTTCAGAAATCCTGACAATATGACGTAAAAAAAATGTTATAGATTATTTATTAAGACTAAAATAAAATTATAAATTCGGTTAATTGTGTAAATACCAAGGGGCCTCTTATTAGGGCAGATCATAAAACATAACATAAAACGAATATACACTATGGAATATTATGTAATATTGTGAATATAAATGTATAGCCACAGGGTGTATAAAACATTAAAACACTTAATAAATATTGAAAAATATTTTCAAAATTATATCTCAGTGTATACTTCATTGACATTTGTATTTGATTTGAAAAATGTATATTTAAAAACAATTAATTAGCCATCAAAGTGTAATAACTTTCTTTATACTTTTTAGTAAATAAATGTATTTTTACTGCTACTAAATAATCATCATATAATTTTAAACAAATATTGATAAATATAATAATCTTGCTGTTGTGTTTAAATAGTATACAACATTAATTAATATTTTCTTGCTTATATAACAAATTGATTCACATGTTCAAGTAAAAAAGTGAGTTTATTATTTTCTATGAAATTGTAAATGCTTTTAGAGCAAACAATACTTTGTTTAGATTTATCTACATACCACCCTGGTGCGACTTGGAAAATCCTTTTATTTTGAAATTTGAAACATTAGTTTTACATTGATCCGTATACAACGACAAAAATACGAGAAAAAATAAAGCAATGAAATAAAAATAATACTGGTACAGTGATAGGTACTTAAAGATATTATATTTTAATATGACCATTGGTAGATTAAAGACAAACAGTAATCGGTCCTTAAAACCGAAAAAATTCCGATACACAACATCCGATCGCAAACCAACAGGTATGTAACGTATTTAAAATAAAATAGTATATACTAAAAATATTAATTATTTTTATCTTTATTTATTATAAAAAAATAAAACGGTTATAAAAATTCCATCGGTCATCCTAGAATCGAGCGTATCGGTGAAAAACTAATAATAAATACAAATGGTAACAAGTTTTCAAAAAAAAAAAAAATGTTTATCATCCAACGTCACATAAGACGAGGAATAACAAATTTAATAATAGAACATGTTTATATATTATAGTAAATATAAAAACTACGTTTGTGTACTTACCAAAAGCTCTCAAGTAAGTGGCGTTATTGTTGCTGGCCGGCATGTCGTCGTGGTATCGTCCCACGATGCAGATAACACCGGTCAAACGACGCGGGAGGAGATAAGACAGAAAAGCGCGTATTAAAAAAAAAAACAAATAAATAATAATAATACTTAGTTATCGTTTTTACTATTATCGTACATATTATTACTATTATAATCAAACGTTGGCGGTTTAATGGGTGAAAACTTTCGATAAAAACACGTCACGCTGCGCCCGCGGAACGGTCAGTGGTGGTGTGTGCGTAGTACGGACGAGCGGTGCGTGAATGCCGCTGCGGTGCAGTCGTCGGCGAGCCGAGAGAGTCGGGAGAGCACGAAGTACACCGCGGACGTACGTACTATGATCGGGCTAACGGGCGGCGTAGAGGAGGATAGCCGAAAAATGGGATCGACGCGAAAATCAATAAAAACAAAACATACTTATGTATATTTTTTCACGAGACCAAATGACAACGCGACGTAAATACACTGTATACTATAAATATACACTTATGAAGCTAATGTCGACGGATGGTGATTTTTTTGTACTTAAAGTGTTGTACTGCGCAGGCGCTGGACACCGCTGTTGGACGACAACGACGACGACCGCAACCGGTGGTACGCGTTGGTCGGCGTGACGATCGGGCGCGACAAAGTATGCGATATATTTAATGTTATTATTATTATTATTATTATTATTATTACGGTTAACTGTTGATGAGTCGGTCGGTCGCTAGTCCCCCACCAGAAACGGAATCGCTTTGTGCGTGCGTGCGTCCGAGTCGTTTGGTGCGCGCGCGTGTCGTGTTTCGGACGACACGCTGTGTAAACAAGTCGCGTTGATAGCGGCGAATTTGTTGTTATTTTTTCCGTTTTAAATGATAACAATTCGACTAGAAGAAAACATGCACAAACATTTTACGTCTCGGAAGACGTACACGATAAACTCGCAAGTGAGCAGCGACGATAATGACGGTTTGTTTATTTCGTGGATACGCTGTGCGTGCTCGACGACGACGGTTGCGGAATTCGAATGGGCGACGGGCGCTCGATCGATCTCGGAAAAGTGAACCGGTTCTAGGATGCGGCGCGCGGTGGCTCCGGTGCCGCGACGCGGAAACTCGCCCGGCCGCCTACCGCGGCGGTCGGAGCGCATGCAGCCGTCCGGGACTGCCCACTTTTCCGTCACTGGTCCATTCGCATAAGCGCTCTCCGCCGCCGCCGCAGCCTCCGCCGCCGACGCAAGAGTTCCCGCTTTACCTCCCTTCCCCTCCCTCGCCCCTCAACGAGTGATCGTTTGATTGTTGTTACGCGAGATACCTCATGGTATATATTATACCACAGACGATTAATTTTTATAAAAATCTATAAAAAAATCAACGAAGAGATCAATACGTTATTGGAAACGGGTGTCTGAGGTGTGCAGAACCTTTATTACAATATTTTGATTTTAAAACTTTGTGATTCATGGTTAGGTAACGTATATATTTATTACCTAATCGCGTTACCATGCAGGTACTCACGATTAGTGTAAACATAATATGTACAAATATTTACAAATCCCTATCGCCTGGAAAGCATAGCCGTATAATATGCTCTCTTACATTTATTTACTGTACTTCAAATTTTAACCGAAGTCAATCATAATACGCTGTAATCGGCTACAATGTGTTATTAAAATTCCACTACAGCAATAGTAATTAGTATACTCTACACACGTGATTTACGTAGATATATGATTTAGATATTGTATTACACTATTTGAATATAAGACCTATAGGATATGGATAATACTACACAAGCGACCCATTATGTACAATAATAAGTACATCATATTTATATACATTATACTAAGAAATAAGAACTGTTGGACGGAGCATAACTAAACTAGACTTTATAACCTATTAAGTATTTTATTTTAATTATATTTACCAATGTTATATATATTTATCGTTTATATTATATATAATATAATATACACAAACATGCACACATACACACATGCACATATACAATATACATACATATACATTATATTTATATATTATAATAAGTAAATTTAATGAATTAACCAAATAACAGACGTGTTTAAAAATTCCTATTTTTCTAAGAAATTTTAAGAACGATTATTAAAACCAGTATAGGTGATTAATTTCCGGTGCATAATTCTCAAATGCCGGAGACACGTTTTGACGGATCGGAGGTGAATCGAACAACTCAGAACAAGACACACTTAGCCATAAAACAAACACCTTTCATAAGTCATAATAATTGTATACACGATTGGAAAATAAATTAATTGGAAATCGGATGTATGAGTAAAATTAAAGCCGTGACGGACGTGGAAGAAATGGTTGGAGAAACGACCATTTTCTTAAAATAGACTAAAATTTAAAACCACGGTGAATGGTGATAGAGTTATTTATTCGAAATCACAAGTAAAATATGAAGGTGCCAAACGTCAACAGTCAAATTTGCTGCGGTGTAACGCTGACAACTGTGATTGCAATCTGGCCGAGAACACGACCATGGTATAAACAGGGTCGGAATAACCCGTCGAATTACCGAGTAAAACTTGGTGAGCCGCTTAAAATATGATGTGGTAATTAGTATTTGGTCGTATTATTATTATTTTTTTTTTTATAATATAGATAAATTTATAGATACAAATATTAGTCGAAAATATAATTAATCGAATTATTAAACTTTACGGTAACTTGTAATCAAACGCTAAGTCCTAAAACTCGGTAGACCGATACCTAGCCAATCGGCGCTGAGTATAAACATGGTATAATTTTGTAGCTTACGACATTTTCTATTGTTTACTTATATAATTGATAATAAAATATCTAGATTATTAAGTATAATCGTAAAGATTATTATAGCCCATATTAGTCAGCGGCCGTTTTCTTTGCACCTATCGCTCAGTCCAAATTCGAGCAAACTGTTATTGAGACGTTGGTATTCTCGAATTTGTATACAGCGGTATGTGTTGTAACGGAATTTTTGTTATAAAAAAAGCTTTGTAATTTGTATGCGTGTGTCTCATCTGTTGTATCCCAGCCTTTTGGGTCCGACGAAATATTTAGACCAGTTTTTCAAAGATAACGTGTCGCTGAATGCGCTGCCAAAATATGGCGCATATCAATTAACTAGATTATTTCATAGATTCACAGTACCTATAAAGGAATGTAAAAATAGACAGTATATTAGTCGCATCTACGACCGTTATTTAGATTATGACGTTATCGTATTTCCATATAATGCGTGTACAATTATTTTCTATAAAATAGTCACGTAACACGCAATACGCATATTATGATGAAGTTCAACGACGGACAAATTTGTGCACGCATCTGGATGTTGTCACCGAAATCTCGCAGAGTATAATTTACTATTTAGAAACACTAAATTTTTTAAATTTTTTAGATACACTAAAATTAATCTATTAAAGAAATTTTTTCATCAGTATCAGTATCTTATAATGGACGGGGGTTCATTGGGTTCATCAAAACCTTATTAAATATAATAATTATAATTATAATAGGAAACAAAATAATGATAATATAATGATACAGATATAGTATAATATATAGTATATAAAAATTAAATATTTAGGATATTTGAACAAGTTATAAATTTTCAACAACAGGGATATTTATGATGCCTATATATTTTTATAAATCTGAAAAATGACTTGTCTTGAGTTCAAATGTTTTGACAACGTTCGAAAATTAGATACATGAATTAACATCAATAATTAATACTCAAATGCCCAATGTTTATTCTGAAAAAATAAACAAAGGATATTTTAGATGTGTATTTAATACAGTGTACTATATTACGTACAAATAATAACTATCATTTTATTATATAGGTAGCTATAGTTTAACCAAATAATCACAAATGAGTAAAAAGGATAAGAGCTAAAGGTGAAACGAACATATATTATTATAATATATCTACTTGACCTGCTTATCTCATGCCAGCTTATTATGGACTTTTGGTGTATTCTTATTTTGACGAACGGAATTACTTGGGTATTTTAAATACATTTTCAATAATTTGTATGTGAGCATGTATAACAATAATAATAATATAATCCTATAGAATTGTATTTCTAAACATAATTTGTTTCATTCCTACGATAGTATATGCCAATTTACATAATAAAAATTCTAAAGACAAAACAACCACTTTAAAATTTATCCGTTATTTACACAGAACCACGACTAATAGTATTTTATATTTTTATATTTACAGTACCATTCTATTAGTCATGTTTAAATGTGTAATATATTATATTGTAATTTAATTTGTTCAATCCTCCCTGTAAAGAAAAACACAAAATTACGCCACTGAAGTAATTATCATATATTTGTTTGTTTATCAATGTGTATTTTACTAATAGTTAGGATAGTTTTACTTATGATAATAACTAGAAAATTATTTAATATAAGAAAATAGGAAAAGTTAGTAGAAAGTACGAGCGAAGCGAGTTGTTATTGCAGTTAATTGTAGAGGTTACTCATAAGTTTTGGCCTTCCTTTTATGAAAACTAAAATTACGCAATTAGTTTTTGAGAACATAATCAACTTCTTTAAAAAAAATTATAACAATTAATAAAAAATTACTTGATTTACTTATTGTTTATTGTGCGTAAACATACTCAAAAATGTATTAAGTATTCTTGTATTTAGTATTTTTTATGATTAATATAAAAAAAACTTATAGACGCGTAGATATGTCAAAGTTTATTAGATTAATAAGATATTTTTATTTTTCAGTGAATTAATAAAAATCAAAAAATACCATTAAGACTAAATTTTTAACTGTCATACGTAACGAGTCAATTTTTTTAAAACCCATGTCTGAAAATGCGTTTATAAAAAAAGGTAATAAAAGAACTGAAAATTAATACTGTTATGATTTAATATGATACATTGCTATGTAGATACTCATCTCTATGCATATATTGCATATAATCTTAACCTTTACACGTTTAGAAACTAAGCTATTTAATAATTGTAACCTGTAGTTTTAAGTTATCAAGAACTATGCAAATAAAATATACAGTATTATATTGTGTAATAAATTACCAAATAGGTATCTCAGGTAATATAATTAGTTTTGAGACCACAATTTAATGACGTGTGCATATGGCATTTTATACCTATTTTACTCTGCAGACTGCAGTCTACGTAATTTTATTTTATATCAATATTTTCTTGAATCTAAATTTACCAAGTATACTTACCCACATGCGTTTTTGAAACGTTTTCATTATTATAAGCAAAAGCTATCGAGATTATATACTTATTATCTTTATAATTGTATTCATTTATTGACAATTTAAATTTGATTCAATCAGTCATTATAATACTATAATAATAATGTAATAACTAATAACTAATAACTCATAATAAATATTGAAGTACTTGATTATAAATACAATAATAAGACTAATTTAATAGATAATATAATAATATACATATTATAGGTAGGTATTAAATACAAATAAATCAAATAATAGAGTATTAACCACGCTAATGTGTATCAATCAGTCGCTCACTTACTCTTGATATTACGGTTATCATAACAATCATATTGATAATCCTATACATTTTCTGGTGGTTGACTGGTAGGTAGGTATATAAAGCTATTAAGAAATCCAAAAATATGTACAGGAACCCGATAAAACAGTCATCAATTATAAATTATAGACGGCAAATCTCTGGCAGTGGTGTATTAATATTTAATATACTTATAGTGGGCTGATTAGTATCTACTATCTAGGACATAATACGAGTATAACCACATGTCCACAGACGTTAAACTACCAAGGTATAGACTATAAGCACAACATTGCAACTTTTAATATTTTTATAAGATTTATTTATACGTATATCGTACCATTCGTATATTATTAGCATTATAAATAGTACATATAATAGTTAGCGGTGTAACTATAGTTTTAAATTTAAATTTTACTTTTAGTCTTTAGATTCTAAATTAAGAGTTGAAATTATTTGTTTAACAAAAAACTATGTATGATTTTTTTTCGTCATACTAATTATCGCATTTGTAACAGTATTCATCTTAAAGGGTCAGGTATCAAATTTGATCTAATGGGTACTTTGAAGGGTTAAAAAAAATGCTCAAATATTTATAACCTATTTGAGAAAAACCAAAAATAAATTATCGAAAAACGAATATATTTGCGCTTAGCCAGCTTTGACAAAATAGATTTTGTTTTTCTGTAGTAATTAAAAAATTAACAAACATATTATGATTTAAAAATTTTAGCGAAATATAAATACATATAATAAATATATTTTGTCTTTTTAGTGCTATTTATATATGTTTTAATGAACATTGTTGACTTTTTGTATATATTTTTCAATTTATGGTAATTAAATTATTTTTTTTTATGTCAAAAAGCTTCAAAATATAATGCTAAATTCCTTATAAGTTGTTCTTATACTAATTAAGGTATATCGAAAATACTTAGTCACATTTTTTTTATAAGCGTCTAAGGTTCGAATATTAACAATATTAGGTATAATTCTATAAATTATTTTTGTTTAATATCGATGTTGAATTAAGTTAAATAACTAGTTTATATACTTCTATATAAAACTACATTTTTATGTAGATTAGAGAGTAATGAATATAATGAAGTTAATGAACATCTGTTTTATTTTAAACACATATGACTGTATGACATATTTTATTTTTATATTAAACATGAATACGTGATACATGCATATTTTCATCAAGTAAAATTCTTAGCACCTAAACACAATAAACATTTTTTTTTATGCTGTTTAGTCTTATAAAGTCAAACTAATAGTTTTTAAAACAAAACAGAACACACAAAAATATTGAAATTAGCATCGATTCTCGTATTTCTTTATAGCTGCTCTTAATAATACATATTATGAGTTTAGAAATCATAATATTTGTAGGAAGCTCAAGTTATTAATTAATAAAATATTATTGACTTAATTAGCAGTTTTATTAATAAGTATAGGTATGAAAAATTAAGAATAATTGAAAATGAAGAAATTATAAGATGTTTGATGTATCTATAGGTTGTAAAGTTACATAAAATAAAGTATTAGTCTAGAGTTTAATAAGTAATCTAAAATCTAGAGTCTAGACTCTAGATTACTTATTAAATTGAAATTTTTTTAGTTGTCAAAATTTAAGCTATGGAGATTTTATTATATTTAAATTTATTAATTATTGATGGATTTGCATTGGACTTACCTCAAATAGTCAAATTTTATTTATTGATAGTTCTCCGAATATTGAACTATTAAAATATATATCTTATAAATGCCAAACTAAATGATGAAAATATATAATTACTAACAATTTTAATGGTTTTTATTTAAAAAAAAGCTATAAATTACTTTACTGAATTTTATATGATGTCGATTTATAACTATAAGCTCCATAGAGGTCAATTATGTGAACTATTTAGCTACTTAATGACCGTAAGTATTCGTCGAGTCTATAGACTATATATAATGTATCATATATATATATATATATATAGCTTTTTAAAACTGTAATGTATTAAGGCAGTACGCAAGTTATTCGATTATTAACAGTGATATCAACGATGTCACATGGTTAAAAATTAATACAATGTAGAATTTAAATTTAAAAAATAATAAATAGTCAAACAGGTAGCTGATAACTTGATAAAAATATTAAAAAAATAATTAATAATTATTAGTATCATGATATAATATATAGTTTGGTAGTTTTAAAATGATAGTTAATTATTTAAAATGATTAAAGGTCAATTTTCTAGAAACTCAATAAATGCACAATATCATGATTTTATTGTTCATATAGTTTTAATATTTTTCTATTTATATATTCAATTTAATGTGTAATAATTTAATTGATTTATGAATGATAATAAAATAGGTTGTCAATTAATGTTTTAATGTTAATAGTACTTAACAATTTATAATATTATATTATTTAAAACTAAAATTAATTATATTATATTATTTTTCAATATCTATAATTTTTACTTTTTAGAATAATATGTAAATAGATTTTAAATTTAAATGATATGTTCAATTTCTAATTTTTATATTTTTTGATTACAAAAGCCGTTTAAAAAATTAAATATAAAATGTAAGCAAAATTAATTTAACATGTAACTACTTGCAAATAGCATTTAATTATCAAAACATAGATAACCTATAGGCTTAATATTAATACCTGCAATAAAAAATTTGTTAAATTACGTATTTATAGGTACATAATAAAGTAATTGTGATTTAGATACAAATTACATTAAATATACGTAGTATATACTTATATTATTCTATAATAATCAATATTATAGTTTCATAAATTATAATTATTCACATATTTATGCTACAAGTAATAACGTGCTTTATAAAAACAAATATTAACTGGACTTAATTTTTTTTTTCAATATTATCCATTTGTTATCATTAAAATACTTTTTTTGTAACAAAGCAGTGTAAAAACAAATTACGTAAACCTTTAAAAATCTTCAAAATATTTTAAATGTTTAAATAAAGATGAAATAAAATCGCTTGAACCCCCACCAATGTAACTCCCTACTTGTGAATATCACTATTTAAAGGCATTTTATGAAGATACAAACTTCCATTTTTCAAATAAGAACTCCTCAAATTTTCTGAGAAAGTAATCTTTAACTAAGAAAATACTCATTCAAATTTTGAATTAGGTAAATCAACATTTTTAAAAATAATTATTCACTAAACATTCTTAGTAAAAAGTAAGGTTCTCATCTTATTCAAAAAAACAATAATTTGTATCACCACAATACATTTTTGAAGTAATACAAAACAATTCAAGAATTTGAAAATATGGAATAATATATTTAAAAATTTTAAAGTCAGAATTTAAAAAAATTTATTTTTAGAGGAAAAAACAGGATTATCATACTTGATATTATAATATTATATTAGCATTTATAATGTCCTTTAATAGTTTAGTATATTAATAATTTTAATAAACATGTAGTTTCATTTATTTATTAACATATCTATTAATAATTTTGTACCTACCTTAAAGTTTGAATTTCCTTAAATGTTTATTATTTTATACTTAAAAAGTTACATTTCCAGATTTTATTATATCCATGATATAACAAAACGTATGAAAAAAAATAATACATGTTGACACAAATTTCTTTTAATAAAAACACATAATTATTATTATAATACATTTGTTGTTATTCTTCAACATTATAAATAATTCAACAAATTAGCTTGGCTAATGGTGTTGGTAACAATATATTATTTTAACCACAGATAAATATTATTACTAAACAAAGTAAAAACAAGTAAAAAACAAACAAGATCAGTGTTCATGTACAATAATAGGTATAGTCGGTACTATAGGTACTAAAATATCTGTCAACATATACGTTAACATTTTTATATGTGGTTTAGCACTGATAGTACCTTATTTATCACAGTCTACAGATAAATAAATAATTTTTTAATATATCAATACATAATATTTTATATTTTTAAAATACATTAAAACTATTAAAATATATTTAAATAATTGATTTGATTTATTAATATTATTTTGAACTAGCAATAAGGAATAAAGTAATTTTTATTGATTTTAAGTTATATTTTCTTCTTCAGAATATTTTATACATACTAGTCCTACATTATTTTTATGGATTTAAATTACGAGAAAAGGATAAAATCTTGCTTTTATTTAATTACCATCATCATTGACAATGTATTATTCATTGATAGTTAATCTTCTACGACCATAATATAATATAATATAATACAATTCATGAATAAAAAGAGCATTTGTTTTCAAGTATCTATATAAATAGGTATTTAAATATAAACAATTTAATGATGAAAAAAATGTTGCTTACTAATAGATTGATACTAACATTTTCGATTTTGAAAGAAGTAATAAAATTAAAAATGATTTACACATAAAAAAATATAATGAGTGTGTGTATATGATTTTTAAACATCGAAAAATAGAGATATTATAAATAGTTGTTTTATGGAATAGAATATTATTATATTATATCCACGAGCATTATTTTGTTAAATGTTTATAAATTATTTTAAAAATGAATACATTAAAAACAAAATTAATTGAAGTATAATAAATAATAATGGTACTTAGGTCACTATTTTAAAAACTTATAATTTATATCATATTATATATGTGTGTGTGTACATATCTTATCTATGTTCAATATATATATATATGTGTGTGTGTGTTATGATGGTTGGCTTATATTTTTCGCACGTTTTATTTAAGAAATATGATACAAACATTAGAAGTGTATATTATTACATTATATTGTATAATATGACATAAAACAACATAATATTATGAACATGACCAATAATTTTGGAAACAGTGTTAATATAAGTAATTATGAAAGTTGAATCTCACAAAGTCATATCAAAAAGAGATTTACTACTTATATACAATTTACAAATATATAGACCAATGTTATTGATTTCTCTAATAAATAACCACGGAAAAATATATCTTAATTAAAATAATGTGTACCTATATTTAACACGCATATTGACGAGATTTCAGTGTCAATCTATGTAACTATGATTTAAAAACAGTCAATTTTTTTAGTTGTATGTAATAAATTTGTTTTACAATGTCAAATATGAAATATTTTGGAAAAAAAATTATACATACTAATATTTCATAATCGTTTTTTTTTTTTTAATTTATTTAAATTTAATTAGATCTGAACCATTTACATAAGATTTTTTATCTTTTTTTAACTGTTTTCTATTTAGAACATTTTGTTTTGAACTCTCCTATATTTTGCAGAGCAAGTTGGTCATGGTCTGCCAACAATTTATTTTTTATTTTGATAATTAATAACCAAATCAAGGGGTGGTTTTCCTACAACTAAATGGCAAAATTGATTGTTTCATGACACAATTTTACTATATGCAATAACATACAAACTCAACACTTAATAACTTTAGTCAATTTTGACTCAATATAATATGATAGAAGTGTACACTATTATAATAATTAAATATAAATCATTGTCCCCGCTTGTTCACTTTTTTTTTTAGTTTTGCAAAATCTCATAAGGAGTTACTTTTTCCGTGATTATTTTTTCGGATTTTTTTTTTCAGGGATTAAATTTTTAGAGTTATTTTTTTTTTTGCAGTACCCTTATTCTTATTTCGTCATTCCTCACAAAATATTATTAGGTTTACATTTAAACAAAATAGTTTTTAAAATATTGTGAAATGCTATAACATATGTCAAGATCTTCTCCAATACATCAATGTGTTCACGGAAGTAAACGAATTTATTGAAAATCTTCATTTTAACCGACCCCACATTACTATTTTGTAAATCATATAAGAATTTAAAAAATTGTAAAATCTATAATTTAATGACGAATAGTTCCTTTTTCATTACAATTATTTTATTGTCACCAAATAATTAAATAATTAATATTTTTGAATTATGATGGTATTAATTGATGTAAATTTAAGTACACGAACTTGGTGATTCTTAATTAGTATTTGATGTACTGTCTATTATACAACAAAGAAAGATTTTATAAATCAAATAACAAAGTTCATTTTGCATTATGCTCATATAGGTACTGTTTATATTTTATTGTCATTTAGACATTTAAGTTCGATGTTTTCCTTTGGCAAATACGTTTTTCTTTTTCAAAATTGTATGATAACACTCACCAACACTTCTTTGTCTCCAATAAATTATTAAATTGTGTTCTTAACACATTTATTTTAATTTCGATTCTAAACATTTAGATATTCGTAATTTACACTCGTCCGTGTATTGAGTTCTAAGAATTATTATAGACATAATTCACTCATAGAAAGAACACTTATAAATCATATTATTTAATTAGTAGACAATTTAAGTAATTTGACTATTAACACCGTTGTCTACGACATCACCAGGTAAATGATGCTTCCAACTTCTAAACAGATATCGCGTAAATTTCCTTAATTGTCTAAATTTACAGTACGTGGCTCCTTGGGCGGATTCCAGTTGTTGCGTCTGTATTAAGAAACCTTTTTCTTTGAACGTTTTTTCCAGACGCTCTCGAGCCAGCGACTTTTTACTCTTTCGTTTAGATTCTTTTGATTGAAGATTCAGTGTTTCCTGAAGACTCGCGGTACCAGGTAGTTGAAAATCATTTATTGATGATATCTGGTCCCTGACGCAAAGGTTCAAAGGTTCTTCTACAACGGTTGTACCATAGTTTTTATATATTAAGTGACATATATCAGCCTACAATGTAATGAAAACATCCGGTTAGAAGAAAAAAAAGGTAAATTGTTCAATACTTTATTGTTCTATTATAATTAATTGTTATACTATTTATTTAATAGGAATCTACTATTCATAAGTTTGCGGAATGCATATAAATTCTTTAGATTCATTAGGTGTTAAATTATTATCACGTTATTGTCAAACTGTATACTGATAACATTTTTTATAAATCTACAATATAGTATTTAAACATGAAAGTGAATTAATTAATTATAAAGTTGTGTGTACATGAGGTGTTTTATAACACTGATTATATTATTTTAACGTGTTTGTACTCAATATTTTTAATTTGATAGTGTCTAATTTAATTCGATAAGATTACATGCATACGTTTTTAAGAAGATAAAAATAATATGTTACGTATATAATACGTACAAATTATTTTATATATGTCCAATATTCTAGAGTAACAATAATATTACATTTATGGATTTTTTTATTGTTCACATAAATATATTTGGTGATTCTTTTAATATTAATACTAATTATTTTGAAGTTTATTAAAGGTTTTGGAAATATTTTTTTTACATACTTTGAAGTTATTATTATACATTATTTTTGAAAAACAAATATATTGAATATTTTTTTATTATATTATTTTTAAGTGTACACTTTCTTGAATGATCATACGTTTTTAATTGCATATTATAAATCATTATGTTTGCCAAGTAGGTATTTCGATGTATAAAAACCAAATTATGAAATAAATGACTTGTAGTTTGTAAGGTTTAAGTATATATTTAGAATTTAGATAAACGGAGTAGTGAACCAACATTTTACGGTTTGATCCTGATCCACTTTACTCCGTACGTTAAAATTTAAAACTTTAAATATTTATAACTTATATTATCTATTGGTTTAAAATTTAATTTTTTTTTTTACAGTAGCATTTTCAAAAAAAATTAATTTGCTTTGGAATGTGTCATTTAAAAATGTTTAAGAAAATAAAGTGAAAACAATTTTTGTAGTGACTTGTGACTTCGATTTTAACGTCAGAATATGAATGATTTTTACCTTTTTTGGTTTGCGTCCCCTTCGTGGTTTTGCATTATCTAATATCATCTCTCCCATGTATGGTAGATCATCAAAACGGACACTAGTTTGAGCTTCTGGTGGTAGCTTTGATTTGAGATTTCCTGTAAAAAGGACAGGTGTAGGAGACGATGAAATTCCTGGAGATGGTTGAGGAGACATTATGGATGCTTCATAATGGTTCAAGTACTCTGGAGGTAATGCTTGATGATGAAATTTAAGCTTCCATCGAGATTTTCTGCGATTTCTATAAAAAAATTAAATGTTAACTTTCCATAATAATAATAATAAATAAATAAAAAAAAACATTCAATTATTAAGAGAAGTTTGCAAAATTCAATATTTAATTCCTTTGTTACTTTTGTAGTGATTGTACATAGGTTATTACTAATTTACTATTTATTACTATTAGGTGCAATTTAAAAATATTCTGTCTTTCAAAAATGTGTAACCTGTACAGTGTACAATATACGTACTGCGATGCCGCAGCAATAGTGGTAGCGATAAATATATACCTATTTGAATTTCGATCATAAATTATTGCTACCGAGTGTTAAAACCTTTATAATTGTTTTAAAATGATAATAACCAAATTGAATAAACTTATTCAAAATATTGAAATATTAGTTAATAGATATTTTTTTCTCTTTATTAAAATGTATTATGTATAGCTAATATATACATTTTTAGAAAAGGTTAAATTACTTATATCCAATAAATAATAATTAATAACTAAGTTGTATTCCATAAAATTTTATTTTTCAAGTAGAATGAAAAATAATGAGTCATTATTTGATTAACAATAAAATTATAGTACACTAAGTAAATTGTATTGTAATTTTAAATGAGACAATAATATCTAAAAATGTAATTTATACATAGAATCACAATAATACTAATAGCTTAATTAGAGTTGACTAATAAATAAATCTTATTGGAAGATCTAAGTAGAACTAACATAGTAATATAATTAATATACCTATTATATTTGACATTACTTATCAGTTAATCAAATATATTATGTTGAATATGATTATTTTAAGTTTTATTAATTAAAAATTTAAGTCAATGACCAAAGTGTTGTTACATTTTGTATATTTAAAAAATTTAAGCTATGATATTATAATATATAATAATATGGTAGTAAAAGTTGAATTATTATTAATTTATGATTAATATATTCAAATATTAGTATATACTAGATTATTACATTTTTATCAATTTAATTTTAAATATTACGCTGATCACAATTCATTTACTTATTAAATGTTTAAAATTATAAAATTTTATTTATTGCCTACATAAAAGTAAGCAAGTAATTGACATTATATATATTTATTTATATATATAATATAAATAATAATTTATTTTATATTTTAACGTATTATCTTAGTTCTTTAACATTTGACTAAATAAGATTATTGTTATTGCTCTTATAATTAATTATTTAAATTAAATTAATAAATTTAAAAAAAAATATGTTGACAGAAAATTATAATTATTGAATTATAATAACCTCATTAACGATTAGCGATAACTATTATTTATTTAAATCTGTTTTGTTCAGTTTATTAAGTTATTGTCATTTATAATATATCATAAAAATAATTAATTTCAAAAATGTTTCGTTCGTACAAATTATTTTCAGACAAAGTAAAAATATAGATTCCTGAGTTCCAGATAGATACATAAATAAAATGTAAAATTAACAATTATGTTATAATTGTCAATATTATTCATTGTTTACGAATAAATATATTTAAATAAAAAAAAAATATATTTTTATTATATAATTTTCTAAAACAGTAATCCAAAACTCCAAAAGTCTAAAATACGTCGTAGGTACAAGATATCAGATTACATAGAATTAAATGTATTATAATAAAATAAAATAGATATATTGAACTATGGACCTGATCTGACCTACACGTGCTTCATTGATGATTCACAGCTATTTTAACTTTTGTTATGAATTATTTTTTTATATAAAATAGTAACTATTACGTTTTATCGATTTTCTGTTTAACGTATTGTCATAATGGTGTATAGCAAAAATGCAGAAATGTAGATGACTAAGCGGCGTATATGTGTTGAACATAAAATAAAGAAACTATGGGGATACCATTGTAATATTATAAGAGCTAAATGACCGTTGGAGTCTCACCCGCATTCGACTATGCTTCCGGTTCAGCAAGTATGGTGATAATAATAAGTTGTAATAATAATACTTAGACATTTGGGAATTAATGTTGAAGATTTAAAGTGAAAAGTGTTTTGTGACTAGACGGCCATTGAGTAATTAAAACGCATTATTACGTATAATATGGTATGTAGTATACCGTATACGTATTCAAATAAAATTCGCATTTTTATATCGTAGGGATAACAACAACGAACTATTATGATTTATATCGCGAAAAATGATGTACATCACAAATTATTTTAGAAAACTACTGTTATTAGGTACTCATTTCAACAATTTAAGTTCACGTTTTTACGCAAGTCTCAAATTTTTCAAATTGGATTAAATACAAATTTAAATGAAAACAACAAACAGTATAGTTTTAAGTTTATTATATTTGGTCCGAAAACGGTTCCAAAAATAGCAAATGTTTTTTTATGAAATTGTCATTATAATAATGTCTAGATTATGGACAACTGAAATTGTATGCATTCCCACCAATGCACTCAACCTCATTGTACTATTCGAGTTATCTCGTTTAAAAAAAAAATAAATAGACATACCGGCTTTGCCCTTTGGCGCAACCAAGCATCTAATATTCAGATCGAATAATATTTTTAGACATATCGATTTAATAATAACGGCATAATGTATATTGTACGTCTTTCCACGATTTAATAATTTTACGAAAACAATTTCTATATTCTATTCTTAAAATATTATATAACAATAATATTAATTAACACAATACAGTCATTACGTGTACAGAGTACTCAGATATAGACGATATGGTGTACAATTATAAATAAATTGTATAATTTTATAAAAGTATACATAAAAGAGCAAACAATTTGGATTGACTATCAAAATATGGGGGAAATACCGTTAGTCGTTTGACAGTGTCGATGACCTGCCTTGAAATATTTTGCCGTCTTCTAAATTCATATTAATATAATAATAATTTATTGTGTAATTTTAATAATAATAATGTATAAATAAATACACCAATAACTCCTAAATTGTATAGTTCATCTGTTATATCTTATATCCACTAGGTACTTTCTATTTATATACACGTGTGACGCGTGTCTGTGTCTAATTATAACAGTGACATTGAATATTTTTTTATACAATGAATGTTGATTATATCTCGTTAAAAATTTTGGAAAAATGTTTCAATTTGAATATTGTAAGCACAAAGATAATCGAGAATTCTACATTGACATTAAAAATCATAAACAAAATAATTAAATATGCATTGTTATTATAATGTAGAATATGGTTGTACCTATCTTTAATCGATGGTGTATCATGGATCAGTGACGGACGATATAGGTATATTATATAAAAAAAGAACCACATGTTTTTGGAATATTAATTCATTTTTAGTAGGGTATTGGAAATCGTAATTGGATGAAGAGAGCGAAACACCTCTTTAGAAATTTAAATCCCCTCGAATTAAATAGGAATTTAAATAATTAAGTTAGTATTTAATGTTTGAAGCGTTTTCAAATAATTTAGATAGAGAACAATTTTTGTTTTTGACTAAGTCGTAATAAATAAAAATAAGAATAAAACTAGTTTTAACATTTTTTAAGTGACTTTTTGAATGAGTTTTGTAAAGGTAAAAAAAAAGAAAAAGAAATTATAATACGAGTTTAAAAAAAAATTAATTACACGTCAACACCATTATTGAATTATTTTGTGGTTTTAATAGGTTCACTTCAAAGGGATAGTGAAAAAAAGTGTGTTATGAAATGGATAAGAGCTTAAGGTATACAATAGCAGCGTAGCATCTTCATTCTCACTGATCTTTAATGTAAAAAAAAAATACATAATTCATTTTAAATTTCATCTGAATACAAAAAATAATAACAAAAATAAATATTTTATACGATTTATTATTTTTTAAACATTCATAAAAGTCGTAGACCATAAATAAATAATACGGTCGTTGTTCAGAGTGTAGATTCTATCTAATTATTTTGATCAAAGAAAACTATTTATTTTACGAAGATGTGAATTCCTCAACTAACATTTACGAAACGGGCTTTAAAAAATTTTAAAAAAATTAATGTTTTAACGAATGCATTTGCATGGTTAACGGGCTACGATCTATGTTTGCTTTTTGCAATATTAATTGTACGTCGGATTATTATGATATACAATTCATCGAGCTTAAATCATAGGTTTGTGCAGCTAAACAGTATATATGTCATTACACATTCGATAGTTAAGTTATTTGTCATTATCAATTATATAATAAATAGTTAAATAAGTAGTATACATATACTTACGTTGCACATGGTAATGATTAACAACGATCACGAGAATGTTACGATGGCGGCTAATAATTATTAGGTTTCATTTTATTATTTATTTTGACAAATACCTATACACACGGTAGTTGAAAATCAACAGCATATTATTTTGAACATTTGACGAGTTTAGAGTCAAGAAGTTATCTATGAGAAATTTTCATAACTTCAAGTTGTAAAATCTATAAACTGTTGTGTAATTCTGTTTTATTCTTTTGGTTGCAAGGTTGCACGTTTTTAAATTTGGGTACCAACTTGAATATATTTTTACGATATATTATTTAAATTTTAGAGTAAAAATTTGATACTAATCATAAATTAAACCGATTCGCCGCACCCAGAATCAAAAATTCAAATCCTATGTCTTCATTTTTAATTTATCGAGTTTTTAATATTATTACTTAAAAATCGTATTAAATCATCAATCATTACTACTGTTATCTAGTACATATTAGCTGTAATTATTGTTCCGTGCAATTACTTTGCTAATTGCTATTACTTACAATAGTTATCACTCATCGGGTTTGCGATAAAAGAAAGTACTGGTGATCACCGTGCAATAATAATAATAATATGTTAATGTTGTATTAAATCGTAAAGGTTTAGACCTTTCGCTTTTCATCGGAGTGATAGTTGTGTCTGTTCAATGAGATATGTTATTTTTGTATTGCCTTGTTAATAATGTTTTATTCAGTCAATAAGTCTTTACAGTAATGGCAGCGCTATCTAGCGTCATCGTTTTGATAAAAAACCGTCTGTGATTGCACGCAAACGATAAACTACACGACGGCTTTTTCTTCTACACTAGACAGCGCTGCTATATACGTTTTTTTATTTCGTCTGGTATTTAATTTTTCATTTCGGACATCATATCAATATGGTTACAAATTACAATGTTTTAATGTTTTATTTAATGCATAAATATAATATATAATACTAAAAATATGAAATTTTTTGTTATAATATTGATAAAAATTAATATGTATGGCTAATTATGTTCTGAACGTTGCTATAATGCTATATTGCCTATATTGTATGAGCTTGTATTAAAACTGTTTTTAAAAACGTATTCAGAATTTTCTCGCTCTAGTGTCTCTATGTCTACTTCATTCTTGTATACCTATGAACATTTTCTGGTTGTATGTATAATCCTCTACAGTAAGCAAAAATTGCAGTAACACTTAAGATGGTGGTAATCTATCGGATTTGGACTGCTCACCTGAAGAAACAGAAAACTCTAGTAAATACTATAATAATACATTTTATTAAATAATCACCATCAGTCAAATGTTTTACTTTTACTATTTATTTTACATAACACTATTTATTCTAATTTAACTAATTTCTATCTAATTAATAGTTTAAAAATAATGAAATGGACATTATATAATATTTGTATACAGTACTTACTGCGAGCTAATTTAGAAATGTAGTTAATGGTAATAATAATTTTTAATTAATATACTGGGTATTAAGTTAAATTTTTATTCTGACATTAGATTCAAAAAAAAATATCTATCGCAAGTAATAATATTTATTGATTATGTAAATATGTTAACCCATTAATCATGATGTACAAACTACTTATCAATATTATTATTATTATTATTATTAAGACTTAGACAGTCTGTAATCTCTGCACACGCCATACAATTGTGAGGTAATATTTTGTCTTGTCGACGGCGGATGGACGATTAACGTGATTGATAATAAACTTCAAATGTCAATATAATTTATAATTTCTAAACGAAGTACGAGTGACAATTTATTATTGCACCATCGTTCTTAACTTGGCGTAAGTGGGCACTCAATGACCTACCTACTTTGATATTTTTAAATTTTTTTTTTGAGGAGGGTGGTGACTCTAGGTCTCTACATAATTTCCTCTTTAATCTTCTTGGTGGATTGTATTATTATTATTTATTGTGATATGTACCGATACATAAAACTTTTTTCACCTAAATCTGATCTGAATTTGCATTGATCAGCATTTTTACGCTCTCGCGAACGATGAATAATTGATATTAAATTATTGAGAATCGGACAATGTCATAGCGTTGCATACGCCAAGAAGACTGTCAGACAAATAGAAAATATTGTGATCAATGATCATCTGGTTGCGAGAAAATATCAAACCCGGTAATGTAAAATATCGTGGTAACTTGCTCATGATAATACTTTTGAAACGTGTCACTGAATTTAAACCATAGTTGAAGCATTAAACTTCACACTACGACAGTCATTGTAGGCTGCAATGCTGCATTCACATGTTTTACGTAACTCAGTTTCCATTTTATCATGTTATGTTTTATAATTCGTATATTTAATACGTAGATAACAATATTTTTATTACATAGGTACCTATAATTTGAATATATTCAATTCTATATGGTATTTTGCAGTGGAAACACCCGGATTAACGTTAACGGTGTGGATAGCGGTCGTGGTTTAACGTCAGCCTCCTTGATCACAATATAATTTAAATTCAGTGACCGCGTTAAATACGGTATACTTGTGAGCTAGTGTGAGCAGACAACCGTGATGTTTTATGTCATCGGTCAAGTGACAATCCCGATATCCACGTCTACCTCGCTATTACATGATTTTCAACGTTTTTCGATCAAATCGTTTCCAAATTGTTGTTCGCGAGTATGTGTTATCAGTGTGAATATATTTTTACGAGTTATTTGCAAGCTTCATTAGTCATTTAGCCATCATTTCAGATCCGACGAAATGTGTCGTCTGTTTCCAAGGATCACAAGTCGAGAATGCCACTTTAAGGTAAGATACAGTTACATAGGCACATATCATGTTATTTTTATAACTCACAGGTTCCATGTATAGACCAAGTGTTGATAGTTCTTATGTTATTACGATCAGTGGCCGTTATGTTAGTATTATTATTATTATTAATAGGTATGCATGTTATAATATGCCATAGGCGTGATTATGTATCCAGGTAAATTTGTAAAATTCAAATTAAACCTTGCTGAAAAGTACAATAGTTATGTAACGTGGTGTATGATGATTTTCAGGATAAGGTGTGAAATATTATCTCTTCGTTTATATAGTATTTACTTAATATGATTCATATGAATCACCTCGAGAAACGTTGGTTCTCGACTTCTTGTATGCTTCCGGTACAAGTCAATAGTCGTTTTCCACGTTACCTATCCACAATGTTTATGACTTATTTCGAAAATAGTTTTACAATTGAATGCGTAAACCGTAAATTCTTAAAAAAATTTATCATTATAATAATTTTGAGTCAAAATGAGATTGGTTTGGGTAGGTACATGGTACATCGATTAATAAAATCACCATTAAAAATATTATGTGCCTATATGTTCTTTAAATCGCAAAATAATTATACTTAAGTAATACAACTATATAGTATAGGTATTAGATAACTTAATAAGAATGACAGAAAACGTAAAATGTTTATTTAATAGTTTTTAGTGCATTAAATCATCTTTGAATAATTAATATATTCTCAAGATATTTTAGAATACATATCATCGATGAATATATTTTTTAAGTACAAATATTTTCTTGTGTTTAATATTAGTACATTATATATTTTGATAGTTGTAAATAACTTACTTTCCAATGTCTTTGCTTGCCGGTAAAATTCCATTGTCTTGTGTTTTAATACCAATACCTTGCATCTGAAAATAAAAATATTAAAATTATATTATTAAAGCTAAAAGGTTAGGTAGTAATTTCTATTCTGTTATAATGATTATAAATTATAATATAAATATTGCTTATTTGTTTTATCCAAAAATGTATTGGTTTTTATTGCAACTCTATAGGTACCGTAAACAATACACATAGATAACTGAAATCTTCTTAAAATATAAATAAAATTACTTCAATTTTTAATTATCTTGAATATTATAGGAAATATAATAGGTATACGTTTCTTAAAGGCAATCTTAATATTAATTGCTTTCTAATTTCTGTGTACACTAATTTTAAATATCATGCTATTTATATCATTTAAATATTGTATTCATGAGTATCGAATTGATAGTTATGTATATTAATTGGTTGAGCGATTTTTTTTAATCAATAAATATATTTTATTGTACTCGTATAATCGTTAATGTTATTATACGTCTGTTAAAGTATTACTACAATTTAAAAATATTAAACGTTTTCAATTTTAGTAAATTAAATTCAAAATTCTACATTCTAGTTTGTATATGCATATAATATAATTAATATGAGACATTATAAAATTATAGCTATTTAATTAACTCAAAATTGACACTATAGTTATATAATTATTACATTTAGTTATGCGTGGTTATGATATATGGATTTAATTAAATATTTATCCAAAACAAATTTTTGGATAAAGTATATCAGTTTTTAATTACCTACGTACTATAAAAAAATAAAGCAAAATTCTAAGCAAGAAAAGTGTGCTGTCTAACATTTGTTTACAAAGTTTATTTCTTAAATCCGTTGGTATTGTATTTATTAAGATTTTATAGTTATATAACATAGGTACATGCATGTTTACACTTTTAGGAGTGGTAATATTATATTATATAATATTCAAGTTGATTTGTAATTATTGTATCTAAATTATACTTAATGTTATGATTTACGTGTTTAAATTTTGTTGTTAAAAAATGTTATTATCATTAATTAATAATTATTAAGTTAAATTCATTTTTTTATTTAAGCAAATAAAAATTACACTAAATTGAAGTTTAAATTTTAAAAATTGTTTTACTTTAAATTAATTTAATCTTCGTTTTTTTTTTTTTAATTGGTATGTGTTGTATACTTTTACATAATATTGTATACATTTTTATTTAGTTCTCATATTCATATATCATGCAATATTCATTATTATTACTTCATAATACAAAAAAAAAAAAATAAAAATAAAAATAAGATATATATATATATATATATATATATATATATAAAAGCTTTACTTTAACACTGTTTATAAAATATACAAAGAATTCAAAAGCGTATATAATTTATGAATTATATATCAAATATATCATATAAATGTTGAGTAAAAAATAGATCTTTCTATGTAGGTGTATTACTTAGTAAGTGTAAAGTATATAACGTGTCGATTTATGCGTTATAATGATAGATCATTATTTATTTATTATTTTAAACTCTTCTAAAATGTTTGAAGCCATTTATGGTAATAATTTGTTAACACTTAACAGTAAATATGTTAAGCATGTTTGATATTTTTTATTGTTTATATAATTATATTTACGCAACAAACCATGTGAACGAAATGAATTGAAAAAAAATGACTTATCATTATTTTGGCCACGCAGGTCGTGCTTTGTGCGTGGTTGAAGGTGGGTAGAATAATATATCAATATTATAATATATATATATATATATATGATAATGATAACGGTTGTCCAAATAAAAGAGTATATTATAACGATTTAATTGTAAAAACAATTCACACCCTGAAGTCTGAAAGACCTCAGTACCGTACCTAATCTAATCTAAAACCGTTTCAACGTTCACTTGAGTGTCAATAATTCTAAATAAAATTTTTGGTGGCTTGGTGCAAGTCCGCAGTGATAATAATATTAATATAATAGGTGCATAATAATAATCTTTATGACTTCGTCGTTGTTATCCATATGTCATGGAACAATATTTCAGGTGATCGGAAACGGGTTTTATTTTGGTAAACACACCTATATGATTGTCGTGCAGCAGCGTGTACCTTTTACTGCTCGTGGATTATTTGAGAATGAATAATATAAATAATTATTTCAATATTGTTGTTTACCAACATTTCTCATTCATTCAAAGCGAGAACCGGTCAGTGAATGGCACGCACAACACATGCGCGGGAAACACCTACGACACTATTATATTGCTCTCGGCTGATTTTTTTTCCCCGTCACTAATATCATTGACGGATGTTATAGCAAAATATATTACATTATGCATACGACATGTTCAGGTATACCGGTATACGACGTATGCAGGCGACCAAGTAATTTGTTTGAAAGCTTACGCAAAACAAACTGGGAAAACTGTGCTGTCGAGTGATTGTTGACCCATTATTTTTGTTTAATATTTCTACCGTTTGGGTTTGATATGTCATTAACTTATAATAACTTATAAGTTATGAGTTTATAACCTTTCTATGATCAAATATTATATTATGATCCAGAAATAGGCGTAACTTATCGGCTACTGTCCTACATTGAATGCAAATATTATGAGTGATGATATTTTAAAATTTTTTGTTCAAATTGAGGTGTTTATAATATTATACACCGCTTTAAATTAACAATAACTTATTTGCGATGACTGCATGTACGCATCATATTATTACAATGTTATAACTTATAACATTCATAGCGTAAAAATTATTGTTTTTCATTATGTTATTAATTATTATATGTTATGTATTTAAATTTAGAAATTTATGTGGCTGATATATATGGTAACATATGTAATGTTATTATTTTAATAAAAATTCTGTTAAGCATGTTATAGTAATTAAATATCTATCAAGCCTTTATCGTATAAATGTGATTTTGTTTTTAACATGTAAAAAATGTTGTCAAAAATACATTAAATCAATTGTTTGATTATACTTATAAATAGCTTTTTAAAGGGTTTAATTGTTATAGCTTTATATTGATATTTCTTACTTAAATGAGTTGCTGTTGGTTTGAGCAAGTTACACCCACGAGGACGGTATTAATAGTGGTTTATTATAACACCTACAAAAGGTCTTATTGCTCTTTTTGCCATACTTCTATATGTAATATTATAATTTATAAACCGTATTACTGTATATATAAAAACATGTATTAATTCTTATTTTATAAATTCTCGGGATAGTATGAAGCAAATAAAAGCGATCATAAATTATGATTGAAATCCTAGTAAAAATAAAAAATCAAGTGATTATTTTTGTATTGAAAGGCGTTAAAAATGCTTTATTATGCTTTTAAAATGGCATCGCATAGTTCAGTGTTATTGTTATTATTATTAATAAATGTATTGTATGTAGTAATATAGTAACTATAATAATATACAACAAATTATGTTAGTAATAATTGGCTTAGATATTTTTTAATGTCATGTTTTGTATACAAAGTTTTAAAGTAAGGTGAAGTACAATGGTTATAATATAAATCTTTCAAAGATCGGAGAATTATGGTATTTTCATAGAAGTATCACGTTTATTAAATTTACACAATTTAATACATTTTTAAAAAGTTTAATTATCAGAGATGAATTTCCATTATTAGAATCATAAAGAAAATTTAGAAATGGATTTAAAAAAAAAAAACATTAAGTTGTGTGATAGGTATAACAATAAAAATCATTTAAAATAAATTAACGTATAGCCGGTAATAAATTATCTACACACTCTTTAATATACCTAAATTAAATCTATGATTTGTTGTGTAATAATTTATAGTAAATTTTATTTTATTCATCGAAGCTTAGTGTTTTACAATTTTAGTAGGTATCCATTCTGATTTATGTTAAATAAAAGTATGTACCTATATTTTTGTTTAAATTTGTTGTACAGGTATATTTATTTAATAATATCACTATAAAATAAGTAATTGATTGTATCATCATTCATATTTATATTTAACAATCGTAAATTTTATTTATCATATAAAATATAAAAAATATAGTATTTTATGAATGTATTAAAAGTGTATGAAATTTTTGTATGTAGATTTAATAACAAGAAAGAAAAAATAAAAAAAAATTAATATATTTAATCATTGATCTATTCTTTTTTTTTTGCCTAGGTATCTATATTAATAAATCTTTCGATTTTTATATTAATGTTTTTTGAAATACCAGTTTTTTTTCTATGTTTAAGTAGGTGTTTATAAATAAAATTGTATTTAAAATGATTTTTTGAAAATTACCTATTTGCACAAGTAGAGTAGGTAAGGATTGAAAAGGGTGTTATTACTTTGATATGGTTATAAAATAGTAAAATGATGACTGATTATTTAATTGTAGAAAAAAATACCTATATAATCTTATAAATATTTAGATACTAAGTAGTAAGCCTACATGTGTTTATTATGCATAATGCATATGTCTGTATGTTTGATATATGAGACTGAAAAAAAGTTAGTATGTTTTATCATATGATAATTTGTGTTTTACAATTATTTTAATAGAGGTTGTCTTTTTAAAATTGGCGTTAGTGTGATATAGGTAAATCATGTTTTTGATTAAATAGTTAGTTGATAATTTGATTTAAAATAAAAAAAATTAGATCTTCATATTTTTTGGTCTGGCAAAAAAATATATTTCTGTAAAAAAACTTAATTACTTAACTTAATTAAAAAAAAATTAATATAGTATTTTTTTAACTTTATTTAGCGGTCAATAATATTAACGCAATTTAATGGATAAAAAGATTTTCTTTACAAAAAAGATAAAAAAATTTAATTGCTAAGGTTTTTTTAAAAATAAAATGGTTGGAATTTTAATAGACAATTTTTTTCAAATAGGATACATAAGTTGGTAGATAAGTATATTGTAGATATTTTTTAAACTTAACTGAACGAAGTACAATAAAAATAAAAATATTATCAAAAACATAAAATATTTTTATATTTTATACCTATATTACATATTACATTGCATTGCTGTTATTTATTTTAAAGATAAGTAAAATGTAAGCATTCTTATCCATATATTAGATATTTTCCTTCGTATTCAATTCACGAATGAACTTCACTTATTTTAATAAGAGAGTATCTATTTATGCGTATTAAAATAGTAATAAATAATAATGCTTATATTTTAATCGTTTTTGATACCTTATCTGGTAATACTTTGGTTCATTTTTGGCTATAAACTATTTTTATTTCAAGTATTTATTCATTCTTTATACATGATACATTACAACCAGTATGTGTGATTGTTATGCATACAGAATTTTGATTATGTATAAATAAACTTGGCATAGAATTATAAATTATGTTATACAAAAGTAAAACTTTGTTCTGATTATTAAGCATAATATCTTTAATCAGATGCTTGTATTACTTTTATATTTAGATGAATAAAAGATGTCGGATTACAGCCAAAATTTTAATTGAGTAAAATATCTATTTCTTCTGGATTGTATTATAATATTAAACAATGATACATTTTTATTTGACTCTAAGATTTGTTTAATAAAAATTAATTAATACAATTAAGTTTATTAATTCTATATAAAAAAAAAAAAAAAAATAATTGAAGTATAGAAGTTTATTTACATGGATTAAAATAAATACAAATCTAACCTAATCTGTTCAGGTAGATTCTTTTAATAATTGTTAAAATATTTTTAAATTTTAATTATAGTTATTGCATTTAAACACTAATTCATTATTACGCAAATTATTAGTTAAACCACTAAAACAATTACGAATGTATGCTAATGTATTAAATATATTTTGTTATATACTTAATATAAAAGCGAAAAAAAATACAATTAGTTTTTATTATTTATATATTATATGGTATGGATATAGATAGGCTGAATAATAATATTCTGATCTATTTAATTATAATTAATTAATTTTGAATTTGTATAGGTTATAAGGTTTTTAGACAACAATTATAAAAATATTTTGATAATATTGTTTTTTACTATTATGTTTACAATTATATATATGTATATATATTACCTATATTGTAAATTCATTAATTCTATTAATTTTAAACTAATTACTAAAATGTAATACATAACGTTTGATGAAGGTTAATTAATAATAATTGTATTCACAAAAATAAATAAATACCTTAAAATAGTGTACTTAAATCCAAAAAAATTGTAAAATCAACACTTAAAATATATTTATAAATAAAAGTGTAAAAATAATATTAATAATTATCAAACATCAATAATACAAGTTAAAAAAATTGACTAGATAGTTTACAAAATATTTAAGATTAATTGAATTAAAATAATATTAAGTTATCTTTCCGTGCACATATTTAAGTAATAATAATGTGTACAATTCCGGCTGCCTAACGCACTGAACGTTTAGTTTCGGGCTCGGCAGTTAACCGCGGAACAGCGACTCCTACGAAATTCGAGATTGCACCGTATTTGGCGTCCGTTTGAAACCGATGGTACTATATTTAAAACACCCACCTTCCCCTTATAACCACTCCTATTTTCTCATTCCATCTCTCTCACCCCCACTATTACACCGGACGCGTGTAGAATATTGCTGTGCGATAAAACCCAAGCTCTGGTTATGGTAAGGCATTTTTTTATTTATAAAGTCGCCTTGGGTATATATCTCCGGTTCATTTTCGGGGTGGGGCGTTAAATAAAACGAAAAAAAAATAGAAGCACCATCGTAGAATTTATATTTAGATTCCGTATAGTTTCGGTTTCATTTGGACTTTGGCACTCGATCCATATATGGACAACGTTTCTACCTGATACACAATATTTTACACAAATGTAGTATAAATAAATTGTAAATATTAATAATATTTCAAGTTAATAATGTATTTTAACATTATTTAATATTAAACAATAAAATAAACCAATGACGGAAATTCTGTTTAAATGGGAAAAGGCAATTTGTTTAATTGAAATGACACGTGTGTCATATTAGGTTCATCCATAACTAATATAAATTACATTCGTATTTCATACGGTCGTCCCTCGAGTACCCACTACCCACCAATAATAATTAAGAAATAAAATATAATATTATTCACAGTTGTTAAGAGTATGAATGTGTACATAATTATTATAACATTTAAAATTATTTTTGTTATTGTTTTTATAATTATTTAAAAAAATTATTGTAATGACTTGTAGAATTGTGAACCTTTTTTTGTTGTTATTTTTAAACGTCACACGATATTTTAAAAATAAATTTTGTAATTTTTCTTTTTTAAACAAGAAAAAAATCATTTAAATTTCTAGATTTAAAATAAGTGTTGAAATAATAATATGATCTATAAATGATGAGTTGTTCGTTTTAATGCACCGAGATTAATTAATTTATACTGTTATTTCAAAAATTATTTAATATTTTTGTTATTTGGTTATTTGTCCTAACTGATATGTAATAAAAAATGATACAAGTTAGTAGTTCAAATGTAAATGTTTTAGTCTTAAAAAAGAAATACTTTTTATAATTTCACATTAACAACATAATATTATGAAAATATTTTTAAAATATTTGTCCAAGAAGAGTACTAAACTTCTATTTACATTAATAATATCGTTTTAGTAAGCTTATGTGCTTATGTGCGAGTTTCATTATTTTACACGATTTAAAATAATGACAACATTATTAGTTAAAAAAAAAATTAAACAAAAATATTAACTACACTAAATTAACTAATATTCTCATCAGTCGTTCTACAATTTAAACTTATAATATTATTATATTGATATTTTGTGAAAATATTCGTGTTTGGCTTAAACTAATTTCATGGTATTTTTGTATTGATATGCAATATTATATTATATAATTGTATATTTATAATGTTTTGTTAATAACAATACTAATGTAGTTAATAATAATACAGGTAGTACTTATGTATTTACAGGGGGGATTATCGTAGTTTACAGTTTTTCTATATCAGTTAAATGATAAAATGATAAAAATTATACTATAGTACCATATAATATTAATTTTTATTATAACTTATAAGGATGTTTTCATAAAACTATGATTCGTGGAAAAAACAAATATGTTTTGACACGATCAGTATTGAATGTATGATGATATTGTTGTTATACCCAAATTGGTGTCATTAATATATTATAATTAAATATACGTTTGTTTTATTGTCTTGCGTAAAGAATAATGAAATGATTAAAAAATATATTCCCAATAGAACGCATAACATACAAGTTAATATAGCGCCCACACTTAAACAGCATCTGGGTCAATCATCTCAATTCCATACATCTTACACACCTACGATTATGTTTAGTATTTGACCTACCTACAAAACATTATAAAACAATAGTTATCATAATAATTATTAACATTAATGTTGTTTTTATAATATTAGTTCTGGAAAATTGGCATCCATTGTATAACAATATAAAAATATGAATTAGGTACTATCAATGTACGAATAGGTACAATATTTTTTAGTTATTTTTTCAAATATAATGCTGTATAAATGGTATGTGGCTTTATTAATCAATAATTTATTTTTGTAATTCGTTGGTACCTATATTAAAAATGTGATTTGATTGATATTTTAATAATATTTTCTTAAACGTAAGGGAGAAAACTGAAAAATCGAGGAAAAACAAAGAAATATTTTATGGTACTTATATTGGGGAATCGATGTTTTATTTGACTGAAAGGTTTATAGAAGATTGTTCATATATTAATATTTCTTTAGTTAATATTTTAATAAATGCTTAAACCATTAATTATTTTCGTGAGTAATTTAAAATATTACATAAATATTAATAAATAAGCTCTGCTCAGGATCTTCTTGTTTTTAACTTGCAAGTTTATCATTAGATTAAAGTTTAACATAATGAACAATTATTTCATACCATTTTGTATCTATAAATAAGTCACGTGAGACCATTGTTCAACGGCTATGGCAGTCTTTGTAAATATAACTTTAATATTGGATTGTAAATTTTTACTTTTATGCACGAAATACGAGAGTTATGTAATTGTTTACAATTAGCCATTGGTAAGCTGTCGTTTTAAACCAGAGGAAATTTTAAATTAAATTGGTACATGTCACCTTGTCTGTGTCTTAATAATCTCAATTTTAAACTACTTACAAGACTGACAACTAGAGTATTGTTCTACACATAGTGTCTAAAGCAATGAATAAAACCGTTTGGTGGGCAACAATTTAGCTGTAATTCTCATGCAAACGACTTGTTATATTGATGTAATTTTTATTTTCAATGTGTCATTTTGACATTAAGCCAATTCTACTTATAATTTTATTGTCCGTAATAGCCATTTTAAATGTATATATCAAGGAATAATAAAACTTTATAAGGTGTAAAACTATATGTTTTATTGAAATACGATAATGTAAATAACAACTGTAAGACTAAAAAGTAGTTACCCATCGCTTCACATATAATAAAATATACGTTATAATACTTTATGTGCATAAGAAAAGATTGGTTATTTTTTTATTTTAATCATTGATTTATTGATTTTGTTATATTTTTATTTGTAGAAAAATTTAACATTAAGTTGCGTGCTACGCATTTAAATTATTTAAATTGTTTATTTTGTTGAAAAAAAAGTAGTGTTTGTCAATAAGCTTTATATGGTTATGTTTCATAACAATATTTCTGCTCAATGGCGCTGGTAAAATTTATACTATAAACTATTATTGTCAGGAATGAAGAATTTATTTATTTTACTTCATAATATAAAAATAGTATTAAAATGTTATAAATTATAAAATGTTTAGTATAGTTACCTATAAGTTATAACTAAAATACTACTTTAAATTTGTATGGCATTTTAAAAGTGCCATGTAGTTATAACCAGCTTTTTTTATTACATGATAATTAAGTATAACTCATTTTTATTGTAAAATGTTGATATATTTTATATACCTATTTAAATTAAATTCAGAAAGAGTAGTTTTTGAGTGATTAAATTATATGTACTGAGAATACCGTTCTATGATAATAGCTGTAGGTTAAGAAGATTCGAGATCTATGATGATTTAAAAATTTATAGTAATTAGTCCATTCAAATTTATGAATTTGTAAAATTTGTGTTCAGATAATAAGTATTTGACTAATTATAATAAATAAGTTATATTTGATGTAAAACTATTGTTGAAGAGTATTATAATTAAAATTCAAAGTTTAATAACTTAGAAATTAATCAATTAAATTTTGAATTATAACTTATATATATATGCATTAAAATTATCAAAGTAATATCCTGTTTAATTGTTTAAAATAAAGAACATGATTTTCTTTAAAAAAAGCTATTATTGTCAGAGGATAATAGTACACAAATCTAAGTATTAATAAAAGTATATACTTAAAAATTTCAAAAATCAGAATTTGAACGAATGCATTATTAAATGGTGCAGACCATGCTTAACAAGTTTTTTTATAAAACAAGTTGGTAGTCATTTTTTAGTTTGATTTGAATGGGATACGAATAAGAAGATATTCGTGATATCATGTTGATAATCTTCAATTACTTACTGCTGAAGCACACGCCATATAGAACACTATATGAATTTTCTAATTTAATTTTTTTTATAAACCTATAAAAATGATACTTTTGAAATTAGAATGTATATTCTATTATTATGGAGCAAAACGAGGGCTAAGGGGTTACTATCTCGTGGTAAAATTTTAAATTCAATTTTCTATTACCCTACATTAAAAAATCTTGTGAATGCGTATCTAAGTATATAATATGGTTATAACTATAATGACATAGGTACCTACCTATATTAATATTACATAGTAATATAATAAAATAATTTAATATTAAATTACAATTTTTGGTCGAGATTATAACTTATATGATTTATATAGTAGGTAACTAATTTTTTATTTCAATTGAAATAAGTTTATTTCTTTGTAATGAGAGAAATTATTGAATAGACAAAGATGTTTTTTCAGTGGTTTAGAATTATTAACTAAATATTTATATAAAATATACTTTTAATTTTAAAAATATTTCAGTATGTACAAAAATATAGTAGAGTTGAGTTGAGTATATTATATATAGGTGATAAATTAAATATTTTATATTTTAAGAATCTGACATATTTAAAATTAAAATATCGTTCATTTTATCATAGAATATTAAAATTGTTATGATTCGTTTTAGATTTAC